AGCACACTGGACACGGCACGTGCTGCGCAAAACCAGACGGCTGGAGCCACGCTTCGGCTACCGGCCAGGCTCCGAGTGGCAGGATTGCTGCTGCTGCAGCCCCGGGAGGCCCCCAGGACCTCGGGTAAGGCTGCTGGGTGCTGGCCCCAGCCTCCCCTGCCCCACCTGGGGTAACCTGCCGCGCACCCAAGGGCTCCGGCATTCCCCAGGGACAAGCAGTAGCTGCCGCAAGGTGTCCCGATGCTACTTGTCCCCGGGGAACCAAACGTCCACGCTCGTGTGGACACGGCCTCTGAGTGTTACTGGAAAAGGTCTAGGGGAGACATGAAGCATCATGCATGTGAACGGGGGACCAGTGCGCGTGTATGTAGGTCAGCCAGCTTTTCTATAGGCCTTTTAAGCTCGTGTTTTCCTGGTTTCAGAATAGCGAATGCTGAGTCAGGATATAAAGACGGCCTTTACATCAATACGCACCAGCATTAAGCATCTTACATCATTTTAATCTGTCTCCTGGTTTTCAGTGTTTGGCCACAGGGCAGGGGTGAATTGAGACACACGCTGCTGTTTTCTGTTCTCTCAATGTAGGAAAGCAACCTTGGTGAACTTAGTGCATACTCGATGCAGAGTTCGTCTTTGAACGTGTGTGACATACCCAGCAGCTGTCTTTGAGGGAGTCTTTATAGTTTTGCCTTAATGCGGCGCGTAGCCAGGAACACAGGGGCGCTGCTTAATTGCAGGTCCACAAAACCCTACTCGTCAAATTAAAACGCATCTCGTAAACCACCACAGTTGGAAAGACAAAAAGAGCTTCATCTTTATAGGTTGTCGGAGGGCTTGTCCAGGCATAGAGGTTGTGAGGATTTCGCTGTTCTGGCATTTTTTAAGTCTACTACCCCTCTCCTTTATACACAAGGGAAAGGGAACACATCTGTGCGATATATCGGACACCTTACATAACCCTGTCCGTTATTTCAGTAAAGAATCGCACCCTTATTCCAAAAAAGTTATACAGACACTGCAGATAGACCAGGCCATAGGAATGATTCACGGGGTGGCACGCTGAATAAAGAGCAAACATTTGGAGAGGTTCAAGGGATATCTCTGGGGGAGAAATTACCGCTGTGTGTGATGGATAAGTTCCTACTAGATTGCGAAGTAGCCGTCTAAAGACCATGGGGCGTCCTCATTGTGAAGGGTGCTTAAAGTAGGAAAGAAATTGTTCTTTGGGGCTAGTCCTGGGACACGGTTGTAGAGGATCTTCAGTGTCTCCAGTCGTATGTGTCTTCAGTATCTGTGATCCCATGAAGAAGGCTCTTACCTGAAACATATCCCAGTGTACTATATTAGTACATTCAACCCCAAATCCTTCCATCCCACATTTTAACAGTCCAGTTCCCCAGGGGAGGCCAGCAAATTTCCATATAGCTGCTACTGACTACAGTCCTGGTCCCAGGCAGTTAAAAGCCGACTCCTGGAGGTGCTTTAAACTCTTCATTTTTGGCGGGGTCCTCTTCACTATCACAATTATTCATATTCCACTTGGGCAGGGTATCTGCAAACAGGTCCCACCAACCATGGAGGAAGCATCTGTGGGTGAAACTTGATTTCACCTGGCATTTCTGCGGTCCCAGTGCTCTGGCTCCTTCGTCAGCATTGCCTTAAGCCAGCGATTCCCAACCTTTTTATACTGTGGACCAGCACGGGAGTGGGATGGGGAGTATGGAGCCGCTTGCCTCCCTCCCTTCCTCCTGGGGCTGCCCTGCTGCCCAGCTTTAACCCCGCACATGCCTGCTGGCAGCGGAAGCCGCTCGCCTGGGCGGACAGACAGGGGTCCGAGTGGAGGGCTCATGCCGTGACCCGGCAGCCAACCCTTCGCGTCCTGGTCCTGGGCCACGGCCCGGTGGTTGGGAACCACTGCCTTAAGCAACAGGAGCCCTTCCTCTCCTGCTGATCCCCAGCTCCGCAAAGTCCTCGCGATTCTGGGTTGGGACCCGGGCGCTGATACGAAGCAGCCGTGCACGTGGATTCGTGATGGCGCTGGGTCTGGGAGATGGTATAACCAGATGGGTGGGGGCAGGGGAGAGCCGCGCTAGCACTCGGTGGAGGGCTCGAGGAATCCACATAAAGGGGCCGGCGTCAAACAATAGACACCCCCCTTTCCTCGCGGCCATCGGCGCTGCCAGCTGCATTGCTTTTCCAGGCTGCCTCTGTCTGTTTGGAGGTGGAAGAGCCCAATTACCTACCTTCTCCCCCCCTCCCCGAAGTTGTATAGTTACAACTCGAGTTAAACTCTAACAAAGCAGCTTAATTCAAAGGCTGCTGATGGGAAGGAAAGCCCATTCCACTCCAGTGTAATTTGAGAATGAAAAGAAAGGGGCTGTGGGCCTGTGCTTTAAATCCGGTGCGTCAGTAGAGTCTCTGAAGCAAAATAATGGCATCACCCTGTGTGCGAGTTAATCAGACTTGATGGCATGAAGGCAGAGAGGTCAACAGGCCATGGTCTTGTGATATATTGTCAGGGAGCTTAATGCCGGGCACAGAACAAGGCTGGCTCAAAGCAAAGCTCCTTGCCGGGCTTGTAGCTCTGGGACCCTTGCCCAGAGCAAGACTGTTAGGCTTATTTTATGCAGAAGTGGGGAGAGGCCAATTTAAATTGGATATGAAAAAAACAGTCCCCATTCGCGGTAACAAATAAAGCAATTGTTCCCGTTAATTTTTTGTTTGCTTATTTATTTAAGCATGGCACTCGCCGGAGCTGAACACAGTTTTGCCAGCTAAGTAAATTGTTTCGCACTAACCAGATCCGGAACCAAAAAATCTTCCCCCCGCCCCCCGGTGTTAAAGCTTCTTTAGACGGGGTTTCTATCTCCGGAGGAAAGAGCGCCGAGCTCGGTTTTCGGACGGACGTCTGCACTCCCTTCCCCCTGGGCGCACCGCGTGGGGGGAGCACAAGGGAGGGCTGTGCATCCTCGGGAGTTGGAAGAGCTAAGCTAAAGTAATGGCAATGTTGCCGATTTAAAGAGAAGGATGAAGGTACCACTGCTTATTTTAAGGCCATCCTTGAAAATCCCGGCGCAGGAAAATAGCCCGTTAGCATTAGGCTTGTGTATTTGGAAAGAGGCTGAATCACATATCCGAGTTGTGAATTCCTGCACCGCTTGCAGCGCTGATGGCCATGCTCTGGAAAGGAGCCTCCGGCGGTACCGCCTGAGCGTGGCTCACGAAGAGAAAGACCTTCCTGATGGGCAGGAAGATCAGTAATTCGGGGCTATGTACGCAGACGTGTAGTTTGTGGAAAACGCTGTTCCCTTGACATGAGAGACTACCTCATTTTTCTAGAGTCGTACTAGAGGCGGTCTTAAATGATTATCGGGTGAGGGAAACGTGCTAGATTATGTCGTTCATTCCCGTCCTTTATCTAAACCATCCCGTGGCCTTATCCACGCCACATATTCATGGCGCCATGCATCATGCATTTATTTGCCTTTGAACGCTAAGCTAGAGTGGTTTATGTCCATCGACTTAATTGGTTGAAGCAACTTCTATTTTAAAGTGTGTTGAGGACATCAAAATGATGCTCTCGTAAATCACCAAATAACGAACGCTAGCGTTTCAGACACGATGGGAGCTTGCTCACTTTTATTCTGAAAATATTTCCTCTCCTCTGACACCAGGAGCCTTCACTCGGTACATGGGTAATAAATAGCCCAGTTGGCCAACAAATAATACAGCAATATCATCCTTCTCCTAGGACCCTCTGAGCAAATATTAACTAGCTGCTTCCTGTCACTGCTGCAACCGTCCCCCGTGCTCGTACCTGCGGTGTGTTATAGGGCGCTCATGGTGTTTCTGATACCGTTGCTGTAGTTATGGGTAAGGGATCGAAGGGATGATTTTGGGGGTCCGTATGTTAACAATTGCCGGTGGACTGAACTCGATGGCATAATTATCCTTCTAGGGGTGCACTGATAAAGATTGCCTTGGCCAATACTGATAGCCAATTATTAATCAGGGGGCCCCAGCCAGAAGGCATAATTATCAGAGAACATTATTGACTACAAGGCAAAAAAGGCTGATAAATTTGCCTTTTATCAGTGCTGACCCGATAGATAACGGATATATTGGTGTCCCTCTAGTGAAATCTAAGTCCATCCAATGGATCTGTTTGCTGTGATCGGGAGGATCAGACGCAGCGAGCGATCAGGTGTGTCCTGTGTACTGGAGCAGCGAGGCCAAGTGGGCTGTAGGATCTGGGATCACTTCTGGAAATTCAAGCCGTCGAGGCATTGCATCCTGGGCTGCTAGACCCAGGGCCAAGCGCTGCATCCCAAGACTTTTGGTTCCCCTGAGCATTACCTGCGTATTAGAGACAAGGGCAACCTTAGTCTGCTAGGAACAGATTCCTCCCATCAAATTAAGGGACTTTTAAATCGGATTTCTTCAGTGCGTGTACATGAATGACTTGAGTCGATGTTTCGGGATCTGGCTCCCCGAGTCACAGTCGGTCACTCGCTGACCAGCGGAGACTCGGCACATACCGTTCAGTTCGGTGCGTTACTCTGTGCCGCCCAGCCCGGCAGGCTCCGCTGCTGTTATCCACCTGGAATTTTTTGTATTGAGAACGGTAGGCCTTTTTGGGGCAGAAATGGCCATTTACAATGCTTGCCCCAAGGAGGTCCTGGCTGGTGCTGGCTGTAGACACAACAACAATAGAAATGTTAAGCAACTATGCAAACGGTACCCAGGACCCTCCATCGCTGGACAAGCTGCTAAAATTGCCAGCTGCCGGACAGTTTGCACGGCCCTGATACAGGCGCAGAAGGGATTGCTCGAAGGGAAGTCTGCAGCCTCGGCTTGGGGCTTCCTTCCTGGCATTGCTTGAAACGGCATGTCCTTGTCTGGTCCAGTTCTGGGTGGGTGCATTTGCTGGGCAGAAATAGGACTTTAAAAACACCTGCTTCTCCCAAACCCCTGATTGTTTCTCTGTTTTTCCTCCTCAGATGCCAGTATGTCACCCGACGCCATGAAGCGGAGTCACTGGTGTAATGTCGCCTACTGGGAGCACCGGACTCGTGTTGGACGCCTCTACACAGTGTATGAACAGTCTGTCAGTATATTTTATGACCTACCTCAAGGAAATGGCTTCTGCCTCGGACAGCTAAACCTGGAAAACAGGAGCGAGACTGTTAGAAGGACTCGAAGTAAAATCGGCTACGGGATTTTACTTAGCAAAGAGCCGGATGGCGTGTGGGCCTACAATCGCAGCGAGCACCCTATCTTCGTCAACTCCCCAACACTGGACATTCCCCATTGTCGGACCTTAATAGTGCGCAAAGTGATGCCTGGCTATTCGATAAAGGTGTTCGACTACGAGAAGTCTTGCCTCTTACAACACGCCACGGACCTGGATTATGCAGATGGGCCCTATGACCCAAACAGCGTTCGGATCAGCTTTGCAAAAGGCTGGGGGCCATGTTACTCGAGACAGTTTATCACGTCATGTCCTTGCTGGCTGGAGATACTACTCAGCAATAACCGATAACCATTGGCCTCTGACAAAAAGGAAAAAGAAAAAAAAAAAAGAAAGAAAGAAAAACACAGACTATCCCAAATATCATCTACCTAGATTTAATATAAAGTTTTATATATTATATGAAAATATATATTATACTTGTAATTATGGAGTCATTTTTACAATGTAATTATTTATGTATGGTGCAATGTGTATGTGGACAAAAAAAGGAAAATGCACTTTGGCTTATATAATTCTTTCAATACAGAATTTTTTTTTTTTTTAAAGAAAAACGATACAGCAAAAATGGGAGAGAACCCTATTTTTGATGTATTTTTTTTTTAACTATTATTAATACCCAGACAAAAAGCTAATACCGGTCACTCATTGATAATAAAGTATTCGCATTATAGGGGGGTTTTAATTGTCTTTTTTAAGAGGGAAGGAAGGCTATTTAGTAACATCTCTAGTGACTGGCGGATAGCAAAGTAAGCGTGTGCACCCACGTGCTGTGTGTGTCGGGTGCTAGGGGCATCACCTAATTCTTGGGTGGAGAGTACAGAATAAGCCCTGAAGCAGTTAGCCTATTTGCTTTCTCCAGTGCCTAGCAGACAAGGCCAAATTTTTTGGATGTCACTAGCTTATTTTGTATGCCTCTGTCTTTAATACATGCAATTTGGGGCACCATACAGGGGCCAGATTTCAAGAAGCATTTGAGCACTCGTTTCAGCAAAACATATGCCTTTAAAGCGTCTCAGATCAGTCATTCAAAATCTCTGGCCGCTTTTGAAACGAAGCGGGGAAGCAAGTGGGCTGAGAGGTGCGGGCGAGCGTGTTCTTGCAAAATCGTACGGTGCCATTTTGTAATTGCATTTGGATTTGAAGGGGCAGGTATGATCGGAAAAGCGAGTGCACGCCAATGATGTGCTCCTTTTGCAAAGTCAGGATAAAATCTGGTTGCTTTTCTGATGAAAGACACGATTTTACTTCCTTTTAGTCCTGCTAGCACAAGGCAGCCCACACAGCTCTGGGGGAATGCTGGCTCTTCTGACCCCGGCATTATCAGTAAAGTTGTTAACTGTGTTATTTCTGCTTAAGAGTGCTGCCAACTCTTGCAGTTTTATTATGAGTCCCCCAGTACTTGATTTTCATATCGTCCAAGCCTCTGGAGGCCTGTGATTACATGAAGATCTCAGCTTTCATTAAAAGCAAGTATGTTTCGAGCCCTGGTACTTGCAGAAAAAAGCATGAAATGTGTCCTCGAAAGTCTCCGAGCCCAGAAGGCAAATTAAAAGAACCCCAAATTATGAGCTCTTTTTTTCCGCCCCCAGATCTCACAAGACTGAAGACACTGTCATGGATTTTTACAGGATTTGAGACATTATTTTCTGTAGCAGTAATGAGCACGGAGGCACTGGGCAGACAGCGTCCAGCTGTTTTCAGATTCCAGAGTACGTTAGCAAAGCTGGCAGTTGGGGGGGAAACGACATCTTTTTTAACTCGCAAAATTGAACAAATTTGATTTGGAAGTCAATGAGATGCAAGCATGGAAAGCCACCAGGACATTTCCACCGTCATTTTTCAAATTATAACCACACTTTAAATGATATTTAATTGGGACCACATTGGTTGGGTTCATGTGGCATCAATATTAATACTTGACATAATTAATTTTTGTTTGTATTACAACCATTGTTGTCAGGGGATGGTGTCAAAACACATCACAGTCATTTAAAGCCCGCGCTGGAGAACTGCATTCATCTTGTTCTTTTGGCTTGGGCTCCTTGCATTGTGTCATAGACCTCAACATGCTGTATCCGTTACGTGCAGTCTTTTAAAGGGGCCGCATTCGGAGCAAGCCACTCGGTTACAAATGATGAGTTTTCTTTACTATCAAGGCCTTTAGTGATTTATTTTTTATTTTTTTTTAAACACATCTCATTCACTTTTCACCATGTGTGCTGTTTCCCTTTTTTTTCCCCCTTCAAAGGAGCCTTAAGGAGTTTTTTTGGAACAGGAATTCACTGAGACTTGGAGAACCGGTGCCTTCTGTCCCTTTGAAAAAAATCCCAGCCTTTATACGTTTCTCAGTGACTAGAGAGGGGTTCATCTCATTTCCTAGCTCTCTTGTACCAGCAGTTTCTTCAGTGTCTGATCCTGCTTCTCTTTGGGACTTTGGTCCGTCCCTTTCAGCTGCGCCCCGAGGGAGCATCCGTGGTGCCGAGGCCCAGGAGCAGGCCGAGGTGCAGCAGAATAGTTTACACTGAGGACCTTTTGCAAACTGGTGCCGTGTTGGGAAACGCCCCCCACCCCGTCCACATTGCCACTGCTCTTGGGTCCTGCGGGATGCTTGGAGACCCCTGTCAGACCAAGCCATTTGTGGCGGCATCGCGGCATCGGGCTCAGCCGCCTGTTTGACCTATCTCTGCAGCCTGGACCACAGCGTCCGGTTAGATCAAGCTAAAATCCAGCAGAGAAGCACCAGTAAACCGTGTCGCCCATGCACGAGCCCTGCTTCAAGAATGACGGCCTTACAGGTCACTTGAAAGCCATTGCCCTTGACGTTACAGGGACGACGAGCTTAAACCCTGTAGTTTGGCATGAGGAAACCTGTGGACCAGGCCCGGTCTTATAATGTTGTTTCCTGTGAACGGCATTTTGGCTAAGGTAAACAAAAAATAAAGGGGTGGGGGATGAATAGGTGACATCAGCTTTATTCTTTGCTCGTTTGCCTCAAACTTTGCATTTCGCTCTGCTTGGGCAATGAAACTGGATCCGGTTGTTTTCCATTAGCTCAGTCCTGGATGCACTACATAGTTTGCATGAAGTGGGGGTTTTTTAAAGTCTGGGTCCCCGGTGTGCAATGCAACAGTTCTTTTTTCTTCTTCTTTTTTTATTTGATTTCATGTCTGCTTTTCTCCATGAATTAATCTAGTGTCTAATTTCAGTGGACAGTGCGGGGCGGGGGGAGACTTTTTGGGCTGGAGCACCAATTATGTTTTCTGTCCTGTTTGGCTCCTTGAATGCATTGTCTAAGTAGGACCTTTTTGATCTTTCCGAGGAACCTTTTGGACCAGCTGGCTCTCAAACCCTCTTCGGGACCCCCCTCCCCAAAGCCCAAGTTAAACCCTCTCCCCAGTCCCCCGCACTGCTTTTGAGCCTGACGACTGCTTGGTGAGTAAATGAACCCTTGGAGCAGACCTGGTTGTGGTTTCAGACGAGGGCTGGTAGAAAGACCTGCGCTCGGACCACCCAGCACTCATTTCTGGTTACCCCGTGAGTCACGCTTTGTCGGGTTGGGAAACCCAATCTAAACAAGATGGTTTTCACAAGTGGGATAAAAAGGAGAAAGGAAAGAGCGTTTTCTCTGGCCTCCGAAGGAGGTGAATTAGCTCCTCCTTTTGCCTCTACTGAGCTAGAATAACCTCCGCCCGGCCTCGTGCTCATGCTGCTTTTATTTTGGCAACAGTCCTTTTCTCATCCTCCTCTATTCTGGTGGTGATTTAGCTCGGGCTCGTCTCGCCAGCACGCCGCGGCCCCAGCGCAGAGGAGAGCGGGTCTGCCCGCGTGGGGCCTCGCATGCTCGTCGAGGGGTCCGGGGCTTGCTGCGATTCGCAAGCAACGGGCTCGAGGGCAGGAGCCAATTCCACATTGGCCGTGGCACGTAGCACGCTGCAAAGCTGGGCTGGGTTTGAGCTGGCACGTGCACCCCCCTTGCAATCCAGCAAGTTATTTGACGCTGGCCGTATGCTCTGGAGCGGAGGGGTGTCTCCTGGCAGCTTATCTTAGTGACTACAGCTACTGTTAAAAGATTTAGGCACCCGGCTGGCTGAGCTAAAGCAAGGCTGGGAGGGGAGCCGGTCTTCCCCTCAATAAAGGGTCTTTTCCCGCACCTGCAATCAATGAGTCAATCAGGCTCCCTGAGCACACGCACAGCTCTACACCTGCTGCAGCTCTTCACAAAGCAGCCTTTCCCCCACCTCATCCGCTCCCCGGCATGGAGAGCAGGGCAACAGCCCCCTGCCCCTAGCAGGGTGAGAGACTTGGGACTCTCTGTGTCCCCCCAACTTGGGTCTGGTGTCCTCCTGGCATGGCTGGAGCCCCTGGAGGTAAGTGCAAGCTTCCCTGTTCTTGCTCGCTGTGAGGGTGCAGGTGTGCTCAGCTTTCCCCTGCCGGGTGCTGGTGCAAGCTTGCACCGTGGGCACGGGCGCGCGGACCTTTGGGTGCAGGCTGCTGGGGAAGCGTCTGTTGCTGTTGTGTGCTGCAGTTACCATGGTAAATGCCTGGGGCTGTCTTGGCTCTGACCTAGTTTTGCAGGATTTATTTTCGGCTGTGGCGCTCTTTTTTTTTTTTTTTTTAATGTTTCCCCTTCTGGGAAATTGTGATGCATCCCTTGTCGGGCGGCTGCTGTACGGCACCTTCTGCCCAAAGGGGCCTGCGAGTGCTGCGGTGCGGGAGGGCAGGGGAGAGGCTCCCGGTGTGGGGCACAGCTCAGCTCGGCCTGCCTTCCCCTGCTGTTGCAGAGAAGGCGAGGGGGGAACAGGATGGCCGCACCGGACGTCTGCTCCAGCGCCAGGGGCACCTGGCCAGTACCCTCGCCCCCCGCCGCCTCCTGCCTTGCAGGGCGGCTGGCACTAGGCACGGTCCCCTGCTCTTGGAGGGGTCGTGGCAAACGGATCCGTGTCCGTGGTGGGCATCTCTAGCAACCTCTGTTTTGGGAGCAAGTCAAGCGGAGCTAAGGAACGGTGTGTCCCCTCCCGCATGCCCTTGTGAGGAGTTGTCCCTGGCCCTCGGGAAGCTTCCTTGGCTGTTATTTGGGCTCTTCACTGTCAGCAGTTGTGCCTCTGGGCCTGCCCGGTGAGAAACCGTGCGCTGCCTTTAGTCGCGTTAAAATCTAACTGTAACAGGCCCCATGTTGTACTGTTTCCACTGCTCAAATCCCAACAAACTCTCGAAGGCTTAACGCTGTGTCCAGAAGAGCAGTCACGTGCCCCAAATGCCCAGCCGGCCAACGCGTGCAGGTGCGTGCAGTGATGGGTAGGGGTTTCCAGCTCCGAAATGGGCCGTTTCCTGGCTCTTGAGTGATGCCCCATGTAGAGCTTCAAGATTTTTTTTTTTTTTTATTTTGGCTGGCCCTTACTAAAATTGATGGCTTGGGTCGAATTGTGCTACTCTTTGTACAGAAAACAGATGGAAGTGAATGCTGCTCCTACCTGTTATTGCCTCCTGTCTTATGAAAGGCTGTTGCTTCGAAGCACTTTGCATGGCTCGGTTGTATGAGAGAGAACAGCAGAAAAGACGTCCCAAAATTTCTGCTGTTATCTGAGTGACAAGATGGCAGTGAGGATTGGGTCTCAGTTCCTCTGGACATAAATCATGGGCATGGATAGATCAGGTGAGGATTGGGTCTCA